AATTTGCTTCATTAGTTGACCTTTCTACCGATATTTTGAGGTCAAATTTAGCCACGCGTGTCATGTTTCTTGCAAAATAGTTTAGTTTCTAACATCTGCTGTTAAATTTGCACTGCCCCGTGCAAAGAATGTTGTTTTTTTTGGTTTAACAAAAATACATTAGATATGAACAAAGAGGAGACTCACGTGTGGACGAACGATCAACCCAACTGCATATAAATTTGATCTACCACTTGGTAAATAACATCAGTTGATTTTAACGTTGGAGACCATTTCTATTGGTCACAGCCATGGAGAAGTCAGAATGTGCTTGAATTTGTGCTGCAGTAAACACCGAAATGTTTATGCTACCTGTAAAACTGAAACTGTGTAAAACTGTTTGATGGTAACAAAGGAGACGATAGCTGGATAAAATCGGGAATAATTTTTGTAAACTGATGTCTCTGGCTTTTTGGAAGCAGGAGGCTTGGTTTAGTCGATGCAGGATAGCTCATCGATTCCCCCTAATCATGGCGCCGTCGGAATGCCTTTCAGCTGTCAATGGCATACATTTTTTGGTTCAAATCACACCGTCTAAGGACACCTACAAATCAAGTGATAATTTTTAGTGAACTATAATAGTGCATTTCTTGGAATCCTCACCTCAGGATGTAAAACAATATGCCTTCGTGAGGCATGTCCCCACAAATCGAGCACGTAGACACGAAGTACAGCGCCATCTTATGTAACGAGTTCCGTCACTCTCGGGAGAAGACCAAAAGGTATTACATGCCCGTCTGCAACCGTGCTTGCCTTGAGAAGCCTCAGCTGCGAGCAAACTATGCCTCTAACAGCCAGATCATCATTAGTAGTTAATAACCAACTAATACGGATGACCTACAACCTCAAACATTGTGATTAGCCTATTTCTGACCATGGAGGACGCCTGAGGCACTGAAAACTAGGTCTGAGGTGAGAACAGTTGATAATGATACAAGCCCCATAGTGAATCAACTATCCACCCCACCTTAAACGCTCCAGAAGCATGATCACAAAAAGTCCACTTTTATGCAGATTCTACCAGTAAGACCGTATCCAAATAAAAGTACTAATCTCCCAAGGCAACGCTTAAACCGTACAAATCTCAAGCATTTCAACTCAGATAGCAAAATTAACCGGACCCACAGCCAGAATGAGCTAGAGTATCCATGCCAAGCTCAGCCAAATCGCCCCATTGAGAAAACCTACCAAAACTTCTACAACCGGAACTTGTACTCTCAGCGCTCGAAGAAAACTTTTCGAGCAAGCCCAAAACCTGTATTAGCCAGCTGTTTTTTATCGAATCCTGGCTCCTCCCAAGTTAAAACATCGGCTACAAATAATGCATTCCAGACGTGGAAAAAACAGGGCAAAATTAAAACACTGCAACCAAGGTGCACCGTTCAAACCAACGCTTGGATCATAAAATCCACGTGGAAAGAATTTTTAGGAATAAAAACAAGACCCAATGAACCTATTGATTCCTCTCGGAGCTCTGGAAGACCATGCCCACAGACGAAAGAAGATGATAGCCTTTGTCTATTTCCTACAAAAACTGAAAACCAGTCTTCAACTACAGCTTAGTAAGGCAGAAGGGGAAAACATTATACGTTATAAGGAAGTGTACTCAATTGGCCTCAAGGCAAAGACGATGGTCTAGAGGTACAATAGAGAAGGGGATTTGAAAGGAAGAAAACTAGGTACCTCCCGCAAATGACTCATCGTGTAGCCTCCTTTAAATAAGCAATAAGGTCGGCCCTATCGGTTTCCTTCTTGAGACCGGCAAAAACCATTTTAGTCCCAGGTATGTACTTCTTCGGATTAACCAAGTATTCATCAAGAGTATCCTCATTCCAAGTTGTACCTGTGGAGATGCAAAAGCAGTACAAAGATAAATTATTCAAGTGTAGACCGAAGTGTTGTTAATAAGCACAGAAAGAGCAAGAAACAAACAGTGCTAAAGAACTGAAGCTAAAGAGCGGATGACTCCATAACGACTAAATAATAAAGGATTGGTCTTATAAATTGGTACATTATTAATGGTTACCCTTGTTTTTGTTCGCTGCAGTGTAATCGTAACCAGGAGCCTGGCCAGTTTGGCGACCGAATAACCCATGAAGATTTGGTCCAGTTTTGTGGCTACCTCCTTTGTCAACAGTATGACACTGCGAACACCGCTGAACAAAAAGCTTCTTTCCCTTCACAACATCCCCCGGCATGGCAAACGTGCAAAAGCAACCTTGAGGACAAATGCTGGAGGTGAAGCAACTAAAGTCCTCAAGGAAAATATAATTAACTTGACATAATAAAGCTTCATTTTCGAAAAAAAATCCAAAATATTAATTTTTTCTTTTGTACTGGTTATTAGATGAGGTTAATATCCTAAGCTAATAACTTCATCCTACACAAATAGTGCAGCGGATATGCTTGGGTAAATTTGGTGTAATTCTGCTTAAGTGCTTGCAATTCTAAATTAACGAAGGCATGTTTTGCGGAGTATTATGTAGCGATTAGATCATCTGTTTTAGCATACCTATTTGCCTCGTGATGCACTTCCACTCTGTTGCACGGCCTTCCTATCTTTCGACCTACTGATACTATAGATTGAATATCGTAAATACAACTAAAGTTGGATCCATAAATTGTATTCAAATCAGAACATATTGGGATTTCATAAATCCTTATGATAAATGTCATTTGAAGGGATGATTAGCGCCACAATGGTTGCGTTAACCAGATCATAGGAGACACCTTTCTGCTGAACCCCCGGTATACCAAATTTCAGGCTTCCATGGAATTGTGTTTGAGCCGTTTCCTGTGTTCATATTGTGGAAGGCTTCCAAGACCGCACGTGCAGACCTTGCCGGATTGCTTGGCGTATGGGCCAAGCTGATGTCTACATTCTCCGGGGTCTCAATTAAACAATTCTTTGGACGTGAAAATAAGCGAAGAAACTAAAGTTACTATTTTTCAAGGTTCATCTTATTTCAATAATATCTGGATGATTTGCTAGTGCCAAGAAAAGGGATGATCAATAGTTAATTAAGGCATTTTTCCAGGTAACTTAAAGAATTCGATTTTTGAAGTTGCATATGTTGTTAGACGGAAATAACAAAAAACTAATTAAAATAGAGCCTGACCACTCCGTTTCATCATGAAGGCACTATTTTCAGCCTAATTTGCCTTGTAAATCGTAAATAACAAATGACCAGCTATTAGCTGAGTAATTAGCTGGGATGATACCTATTATGCGCTTAGGCACAAACGCAAGCAATTGGTTCTCTGGGTCATGTACTGAGAGTGATTTAGCCTACCCTAGCACTAGCTGACTGCAGTAGTACAACAAAAGCCGCCAATTCGGCTGAGGCGCGCCATTCCCCCAGAACCGAGAGAGCAATCACAACGATTGGAATCCGGCCACTTTTGACTGTGCGACGAGCACAAGCTAGCATTTCGGTAGACAACTGGGCACCCGCCCTTCGAGCTGTTCCTGTTGGGTAAAAGCATGTTTGAAAAATGGCCTGAATTTACTCAGAATGTGCTGAGAGGTGGTGTCTTGTCCATCATGCTTTTTCTGTCGCTTCCTCCAATTTCCGAAGGCATCGTCAAGGCCACTCAGAGCAAGCGGCCAGTTGGCACCCACCGTCACGATTTCCTCATCGAAGTCGTCCACCTCGAAGACCGCTAAATTCCAAAACCAATAACGTCACTGCCACCCGTTATTTTTTAGTAGCGTTTGTTCTACACTGTCTACTTGCTTGATGGGATGTAAAAGGCGTCAGGCGCAAGAGTCCAGAGGCACTTGAGCACGGCCTCTTTTCGAAGACCCCTTTGCCCTACAATTACAATGCTGCGGCGAATGTTACAGCTCTGTGGGCAAAATAGCCCAACTGGGACAGCCCATTGATTGGCTGTGTGTAACCAGCCAACCGGATTTCTGGAGTCTCTGTGGAGCTTCAGAAGAGTGGCAATGCGCTTATTGGCTTGCTGGGGATCAGCTGAAAACAAGATAAGCGAATCCATGCAGACTTTGAGGATCTCATCACAAAAAGTGATGCTCCAAGGACATTCGCTTCCGCCTCGAATTCTGGTTAGATTCACACCCTTGGGAAAAAGGAGACAAAAAATTAGGCAACTGAGTAAATAAGTGATCGTATTAAACTAATACGTCAATTCTGAATAAGAATGGCATTTATTTATATATGGAAGACTTAAAAATGAGACGCTAGCAAGACTACAGACATTTGCTGGCTCAATGAACATGTGGCGGATGTGATGGACGGAAGCAACACTTACGTTACTCCCTTATTCTTGCTACTGCAACCCTCTCTATTGCCCTGTTTTCTTCGCATGCAAAGACGGACCGGAGAAATAGATGATTTATTTTACTGGTAGATGATATCCAAAACAATAGGTCTGTAGGCTCTTGGATAGCAGACAGCTGTGGAGTGTCAACATCTGCCCCCATCCTCCCCCACATCACCCCGCTGATATTTCAAGTGTTCTAATGCTCCTGTCTGATTTTATAATCCACTTCAAAGTTGTTCGCTAATCACCCTAGGTAGCGCGATTTGGTCGCCTTAATGATCCCTCTAAGCGGTCATAAAGAGAGCCGCGTATTTGTCTTTTCCCTGGAAATACACTAACAACGGATTTAATTCTAGGGGCTACCGCATCTACACTCATGGTTATAGAATGATTTCCCCCCTACACACTCTTTAAATACAAACATTACTTACAAAAAGTGTCGGACTGGAGGCTGATATGTTTGGAATCCACAGAATATCACCAAATGAATAAGTGAGTAGATGCGAATTAGACCCTTCAGTCTGTTGGAGATGGTCTGCCGATGTGGTTGCTCGCAAAAATCTCTAAAACGTGAAAGACAATGTTTTGATTTACAGTACTAATGTTAACCTAGGAAAGTCGTTTTGAATGCCGCATAGCAATGGGTTTGCATAAAGAGAAAAAAAATTAGCAAGTATTTATTTTAGCATACCTCAGCAGGAAACAACATGAGACAACCAAGCTGCTTTCGAATCTGATCCTCCGTCTGTAAAAGAATCGGACGAGTAGTATTCTATTCCAGTCTATTCTACTATAATACGTTAAGTGGTTGTTTAACTATTGCTTTTGACAACAGGCCACTGAGGCGTTCCACCATTGTAGCTTCACCGGGCGACCTGGCCATCGGGCTATGGCAGTTGCCCCTAAATCCCACTGTACATCGACAGTACATGTTCTGCCCGGGTATCATGTCTCCCTACGTCTTCAAAGAAGTCTCAAGGAGCTATGATATACCATTCTTACACAAACCAAGGCATCCTTACAGCTATGAAGCAAAAATGCTACACCCCTTAAATTAACTCATCAGTGGTTCACAAAGCCTGTTTCTTCCCTTCCATAGAGCAACAATCTATTTTTAAGCAAATTTTATGCAGGAAAAAAACAAGCAATCAGCTTAACACAGCATAACGCATTTATATTACAAGTCATTTTCTGACAGTTAGATGGAAAACGGTGGCCATAGGCTTAATGCAAAACGAGCGATTTCACTTTCCATACTTGTTTCAACAAATATTGATACCTTATTCACCGGCATTTAAATGATTCAGAATGAAATTTCGTCAAGATCCTGCAGATTCAGCAATAAACTTACCCAGCAATCATATCTGTGGTAATGGTAGTTGTATCTACGTCGTCGGGCGAGGTCCATTGCATGTAAGTTGGCATTTGTCATTGTTCCCCCTTAGGAAGTGTCAGCCGTCTTCCACTGCCAATTTCCATTGGCAGAACGCCCTTAAATCTGATTGGATAACTCCGTTCTGATGCAGTACAATTGTCAGCTTCGTTTCTATAATTGCCATCAAAATGTGCGTCGATTGGCGAAATTGAACCATGGGTATGCTTCTTGCTAACAATTTGTTGAGGTAAACAAATGAAATCAAGCATCAGTTTTGTGATCTAGAATAACATTAGAGGCAATCTAATGAAGACAATGTGCAGTGTAAAACGCCATCAAACTATACAATGGGGACGTATAGCGCCCGGAGGCTTACATGAAGATAGAAGAAGACATAGTACAATAAAGGAATATGTATTGCTGACACAAAGAAAGGCTGGCATGGGGCGAAGGTCAGGCCACTCGGTGGAAGTACAATGAGAGAGTCCCTAATTAGCCCGTTGCCGAAACTGAGTTAAACAAACAGCCAAAGTATTACAGTAGAATTTCTAAGCTTTGGCAGGTATTATTGAAAGCAGAACGGAACCTAATCGCTAAGGTTAAGCAGAAGGCGCGAAAATGATCTCAGCGCAGAGGCAGGCAGAGGGTAGCAGCGAATTTGACGCAGGTTTTCGTTGCTTTAGGATAATCAGCTTCTACCTTGCTTGGGCAATTCACTTCGTGACTATGCACACCGAAGTCTGAAAGTACAACGAGTTTCTTTATAGTCGACAAAACAAGTGTATATATGGGCAGTACAATGTTTGTTATACTGCCTCTATGGCATAAAAAGTTACTAACACCAGCCGTAATGCATTGTTTATATGTTCAATTCCTGGTTTTGGGAATGTGCCACTTAGGGCCTGCGTCATTGTACCTTTTGTGGGCGGCTTAATCTCTAAGCATTGTCAGTAGCCACTCAACCCTTCTGTACGTCAACAAAACATTTTCTGCTAGACTATTATGTCTTCATTCGTCTTCAAGGAAGTCGAATGACTTAACGGTAACTGTGACATATACCAAAATCTCAAATAAAAATCGGAATGAGTCCAATTCGATTTCATACTGGGCTAGTGTTTCTGCCGCTAACATATTTTTGGATTGTCTGCAGAATGAATCACAAGTATCATCATGCCACTGTGCAGAATATAGTTGTGACATAACTTTATATGCTCCACTAATTTCGCCTGGGTGGAATGTACCGATTTTAAAATAGACTTACGGGAATACTCGTAGGTACATAAAAGCCGTAAGCAAACTTTTGTAGCTTTGTGCAGTCGGTTGATTCTGTATCAACTAAGATGTTTTCATCTCATAAAAGAAATGTAATAATTTCCTTATTCATGAGGTAAGAAAAGGATATATAGAAGTAGTTTATATATCATTAAGAAAATCAGCCAGAATATTAGAGCATTATGTTGAATCAGCCGATAAACATTCCAGTTATGGCTATGAGGCTTTTATTACGGTACGGATCAACATGTTAATAAGCAAATACGAATATTTGGGCAGTACATTAAAGTACCATTGTAAATTGTGCTCACTGGTTTCACTGCTAATCTAACTGGTAGAGGACCTAAATAATGAAAATAAATCCTAATACATATATGTATTAATTTAGCTTGCACAATAGTAAATAAACACTTGCTTTTAGCAGAGTGGACTAGAAGTTTTGAAGGACATATTTCAGAGTTTGTATCAACTTGTACTAAGTAGTTGGTGCATCAGCAAGCCTTTTACCAGGTCACTTTATCAAACGTGAAATGTTTCGTTAACCGAATTGGTTAGGATCCCGGCAATTTTCTCGTAATAGATTTTACAATGAGCAAAAACTATCACTCTACCTGTTTTATTAAAAAATTTTGCTGAGACAAACATTTCTTATGCTCGAAACTGGAACTAACGAAAGACAGTCACTATTTTACCTGAAATTTAAAATGAATTAATCTATAGTCCATTTCTTCCATGACATTAATGTCATTGGCCAGAACTTTTATAGCTTACGTGCACATTTACTCTCCGAGCTGTGTATGATGGGTGATGTAGCTTCCGTTGTACCACGTTTCTGCTGTTATAAAATGATGCCAAATAAAATACAATTATTGCTTGAAATCATTTACAACTTGCTGTGGATTTATTTTTGCGTTTAATGACCCTAGATAATGCGGGGAGCAGTCTATGGCTGAGTTTAAATTATTTAGTGGTACTTTTCTCTTGTTGAACGATTGGTAAAGTGAGGTAGTTGTGACCTCGTGTCTAAATGGTGATTTTCGACTATTATTTAGCTGCTGGCCTATCAGGGGTTCGTGTTCTTGGACTAAATATTTGGGTTCTTAGGCGAGATAACGACATTTTAGTCGTTATGGTTTGAGTTCGTGATTTTGCCAAGTGCAACAAATCGGCTACCGACGCTCCCCATTTCTTTTGACTGTGACATCCTATTCCAACACTTCAGGCATTTTCTTCGCTTCCCGTTGCTTCGACTATGTTGCGTTTAATTCCCGTAAAAATTGACTTATGACCGGGAATAGACATCCCATCCTGAAGTTCATTCCTTTGCACATATTTCTGTGCGTTATACTTACGCTTTAGTATTTTGCTGCTTGCATGCCTTTTCGTTGATGAAGTACTTAGATAAGCATAGGATTTAAACTTTCTAAAATAGGTGCGATCGCCGTATAGCTTTACTCAAAACCGCAGTTGTTTACAAGATCTCTCCCCTACGGTGCAAATAGTTCATGTAGATAGTTTTTCGTCCACTTTTGAACACTGTGACCCTTCGAGGTCTTCGACCGTTGCAATTGCTCACGTTTGAAGCTGATTAAACCATGGTCATTATAGAAGGGTATTAATGTGCGTCATTAATGTGCAGTTGAGCTATGCCTCGCCAATACCAAAGCGGACGGTTTCGCCAAAGTCAACCGATGGTATCAGCGATGACTGTTGCAGGGGATTACGAAGCGAATGGTGACGAGTCCTTTCCGACGCTACGTAGCAAAGTTGTGGTGCCTACGGTTGTCCACCGCTTCCTTCCACCATCACCATCACCCTTCCTGCCGTCGCCGACGTCTGCACCCTTGCGCCGAGGCCAGCAACAGGAACGGCAAAAACGTCACCGCGTAACAGAGGAGTTGGCTCTTGCGCAACATCACCTGGCGCTCTACACAGGCTTCTTTAGCCAATTTCTTCATAACGGCGGCAGTGGCGACCTCACCAACACTACTCAGTAAGACGTTTTTAACACTTGGTGGAGTTTTATGTCGTCAAGGGTTGTGGTCGATTTTCAACTCCGACCCTTCTGTAATATAGACTAAAACAAACATTTCTAGATTGAAAAGGAGCTCCGTGTTTTCGAAAGCTACTATGTCTAATGGGTCTTTCCTTCTCCTAGGGTGTCTTTCTTGTGAATGCCTCATGTGAAAATCCGCAGGTGCCTTAATCCATCCTTTTACTTTTGCTTGAAATGAGGTTTGTAGGTTCCTGCTTCCAGAATTTTGACATAGAAAGGGCCATGAATTTTTGTGGTCCTGTTGCTTCGTCCACCAAAAAGTTGTTTTTAAAAAGCATTTAACGCATTCCCCGCCCTCGTACTTCACAGTTTGATAAGTTGTATTTAGGTTGTAGTATCAGTACCGTCCCCATCTTTTATCTAGATGATGAATAAACGCAGTTAATTTGCCTGTTGTACGCATAAACTTATGGCTAAAGGTGCTCATTTATGTGTTGGCCAGTCAAGAAATTCATTTAAATGTTTTTGTAACCCCTTTTTCTTATCGACTACCACTACTCACTGTGAAGGATTGCATAAATCCAATTGAATTAGCTCTTTCTACGTTTTGTGTCATTGGCGAATTTGGTGGAACCCGGTTTACTATAATAAGGACGGAAATACACAATTCACCACGTCTTTTATCCGAGATGTACTGTGTTGCTAAAAGCCTAGTATTTTGAAGCACTTAGAGCAGGTAGTTTTCCTTGTACAGCATTCTGCTCATGGTTCTAGCTCGAAATGCACTTTTTCAATCCTAATTTTAAACTTAAAAAACCATTAAAAATGACAGTTATACGGAGGCATGGATTTTAGGTGGTGAAGGTGACACCCTCATGACAAATAAAACCAGTAATAGCCAAACTGAAGCGGTCATTAGCCTGAGTCTACGTGTGCAGTACCACTGTATCCTTCTATAAACTTCTACTTACTTTTGCAAAAATTGAATCTACAATCCTAAAACTTTGATTTAGCCTGATGCACAAGAAGTGGTTTGAATTTTTGCAGTTCTTTGATGCCTTTGAATAAGCAAACTTCTGGTTTGTTATTGGTGACTCCAGTTGTGCCTTTAGCTGACTACTACTTTAAGTGATCGACCCATGGTGCACGAAATCTTAGCCTGACTAATTTAATTCTTTGTTGATTAACAGGACTCTTTTACGTACGGACTAGGAGATGGGTTGTAGAATGATTTCACCTAGTATATTTTTCTGAAAATGACATTTTTTCTCGTCCTTAGGATTGGCCGGAAACGCTCAGCTGCGAGCTTAAAAAATTGCGATGGAAGAGACGAAAACGTCGATTCCAAATTGCTTCGAAGGTCGCCCAAAGCGTCGTCGTTCACTGAAAGGCGACGCGTTGTCCGTATGCGTTACATCTTACTTATCTAAACCTATTTATTAAATTTAAGTAAACGTTTTATTTTCTTCTCAATTTTACACAAACCAATATGCAGAGAATTCGTCGCCGGAGGAGGGCGAAGCTTTCGACGATGACGAGGACTATGATGACCAAAATAAAAACGAAGAGGACGAGGGAGGAGCAAGGTATTCCGATGTGAACAATCGAATGCTTCGGCAGTCAGCGCTCCTGCCCACGCCAAGTCGGTGAGTTGTACGACACCCTCGATCTCACCTCAGCCCGTTATTACTTCAGGGAGACAGCCTTCACTTTAATCGAAAGAAATACCTTTCTAAGTTGGTTTATTGATTGACAATCACTTGGACAGGCAAAACTTCTGGTTCGGGGACAAGATTAATCGCTCTCGTGGCCGCAGGGGTCAACGTCCCTGTGTAGTCCAATAAACAAACCGACCTGCCTTTCAAATTGGTTTTCTTACTGGCTTTACCTACCCATTCAGCCAATTTACTTGAACTTTTTTAAAGTCATGTTCTGAGCAAAATGCCTAAATCGGTGAAATATGAAGTGGTTTCGCATGTTCATCCAGTGCTTTTCTATACATTTGCATGACTAATGGAGGGTTACATTCCTTCTAACTCACCGATGAAGGCAATCTTTGCAAATTGCGCAGTGGTTTAATGGTGATCCGTTTAAACAAAGTTTCGGATATTATGCAGTTTTTTGAGGGCGTTTTTAGGCGCATAGGTTTTAGACTCGCTTTATCATCAAAGTATAAAGCGATTGTGCAGCATCATCCACTTCCAACTAAAAGTGTTTCTTGTTAGAATATTACCGTTATTTCCACCGCCGGCGGCGACGCAGTTGATCCTCCAACAGTTGCAGGATTACTTTACCGGCCTAAGTCCTCCCTCTCCACCGCGACACCGCGGTCTTCGTTGTTCACAGATCGTCTCTAAACCTCCTCACCGATGGTCTCAAATTCGGTGTCAAGGGGAGGGAGAAAATACAACGAGAAGGTGAGGATTTCCACTGCTTTATAACGACGTAAGCATTTGTGTTCAAACTGATTAAGCGTGTGAATGTTCCTCGTTTTTGAAAGGTCAGATGAGCATTGAAAATACCTCGTTTTGTTTTGTGCTTTTTCCTCATCATTGAGAGTGTGTCCATGTATTGAATCCATGTCCATTGTACCTCGAGGAAATTGAGTGTTAATGACTATTAGCATCTTTTGTGGCTTTTGGGAGTTAATAGATATCGAAACCTTTTGCTATTTGAACCCTATGTCCACGATATAGGTGGATGACTTATCAAAATTACAATATCGATGACTTGTGGAATCAAATTCCTTCATAGTGTTTAAAATAGTTGATCAAGTTATGGCATGAAAGGATTTTCTTTATCACTTCCGTTCTTTAACCGTTCTGTCTAGAGATCCTATTTATTACCTTCACATCTTATCGAGAGTTGTGAAGCGATGTCTCGTAATCAAGTTTTCCATGAACCGGATAAGGCACAAAAGCAAAAGCCTGGTTCACACGATTCGTCATGGCTGACCTCATTTCACTATTAGCACTTTATCACTTTGTTTCCCTCTACCATTCTGAGCATGCAGGTGAATCTCATTAACTATGCTCACATTGGTCTCTGCTCCTCTTCACTTCCTAAATCTACCTTCGTTAATAGAGAGACGAATGAAACCATTGACAATGAGTAAATATGAATGAATGGCACAAAAGCAGATTACGCAAATTTGGTTTTTTTAACGAAAAAAAGGCTTTAAGATAGTCACGGAACTTTTTGAGATAGGGTTTCTTGCCTATTTAAAGTTATCAAATTGGAGTTCCTTGATCAAACAACTTTTGAACTAATGTAGACTTGAACAGGAACTATGAGTGTGCTTTATCCAGTTACTACTCTGGAACTCAGCTTCTTTTACTTGTGAAGACATTTTTCTACTAAAGGGTCACTGAATTCCGAGAACTAGATATCCTCATCTGTTTGTTTTCCATGCGTACAAAATTGAATAACGAGTTCATCAGTTAGCTCTAGTAAAGTATTTTCCCTTAGTAAGATGTAAAACTTTTGCAGTCTAGGAGATGATCGTGCGACGTTTTCAGCATCCGCCACCATCCCTCTTTTCATTGCAATTTCACTTGACACGTTTGTTGGCGCTTACAGCAAAATGTAAACCCGCTTTCGGTTGTCCTGCCTCTACGCTAACTTTTGGCCAACCAAAATGACCGTCCATGCTTGCGGCCGCTTGTTCGATCGGGCTGTCCAGTGGGCGAGGTGAACACGCGAGTGTTTTTGGTCTTCTCCGCCCTCCTCCTCCTCCTACCTCCTCTTGGTCGATTTCTCCATCTGATTTTAATAGAGTCCTTCCTCCGATTTGTTGTGGTTGATAACCGAAAGAAGCTCACAGTTCTCTCTCTGGCCTATGAAGGTTAGGCGATAATTATTCTATTTATGAATCTGTTCAGGTATAAATTCTCTTAGTTGTCTAATCTCACTTTAAAGATCCCCATCAAATGACTTCAAATAGACCCAATTGGTTTCCACGATCAACTTTTGCACCTTGGAGACATGGACTTTTAATGGGATAATGGATACCACTCCAAATTTGGATTTCTGGGATATTTTTGTGATCTTCCCCTCCCCCTGACTAACAGTCGTCAATACTTTTATTGCGAATCAAGTTGGGATAAATTAACTATATTTGAGGAACGAAACCGTAGGAATTCCATCCTGTGAGGCATTTGTTTATTAATACCTGCAAAGGTTGATGGTATTCTCACCTTTTTTGTGCTTTGGTATTTCTCCTTTATGCCCCATAGTAATCACTTTAAGTTAGTACTCTCACTTTCAACTTATTTTTGCAGAACTGTCAGAAGTAAATGGTTCGTCATACCCTTATTTATTATCACTCAAATTGTCAATTCGTTTCATTTACTATATCTGATAAGAATTAACTAACAAGCCTTATGATTTCAAAGTAACTTTATAATTGTAGTGAAGTCTATTTCCCTTCCTTCTTTGCCAATTAACATTACCGAAACCGCAATTGAGCTAACTGAAGCAGCTTTGAAAGCCCTTGGGTTTGCAGCAATCAAGCACCTTGCTACCTCTCTTGTTTTTCATCCGATTCTGTTGGCATTCATTCAACTAGAATTAAGTTGCAATCAAGTGGCTGATAATCTACAGGACGCCTTTTTGTCACTGAGTTATAATTTTTTGTGAGACACTGCATTAAACCCATATGTACACCTGAAGGCATACTTGACCTTAAAATGAACCAATCAGTCTACGGGACCGTTGTTCACCTTACCCATGTCCGCGTCTTCACTGCCTATCACGTATACTAGATTTGAATAAAAACTTACGATGGGCTAAGAAGTGTTAATATCCATTAGATAAGCGTCCAATTTGCCTCCATTATTCTTCCTTTACTACTGTGATCATCAAAGGTTGGCATTTTACACGTAGTGCCAGTTAACCGAAACGGTTAACACTTACATAGCACACGGTGCACGTTTATTCGCATATGCGGAAAGATAATGGTATGCTCGGTGTTGTGATGGACACTTCAGTCCTGCTTGCTCTCAGTGTTTTACCGTATATTCGATGTTAAATTGGATCGTTTGACACTTCCTTTTTTTGTATTTGGTCAATTCTGTCTGACCTTCATCGCATCGCTCCGTCAGCACGTCTGTTTACGTGAACGCGTAACAAGGGTGATTTGTCAGCTTCATTGATCTGTGCTGTCCTGTGGTGTGGTGTAGTGTGCAAGAAAGGTCCGTCCAAACTGTAGTCAAAGTGGGTTCGCCTATAGGCCTGACTGTATTAGTCACGCTCGGGGCTGCCCGTCCTGTTTCCAAAAATAGTAGTGGCCTGCCTGTTAGCCGGTTGGTTCGACCCTGACAAATCGGGCTTTTTTCCCCGCATCTCCACTCTCTCTCCCACTCTCATTTGTAAATTATCAGGTAAGTAAGGAAGTTTAACTCCAGACCAACATGTAAGAACACTTGGTCGTGTTCTCGTGCGACTTTAGGCTAGATCGAATTCTCATAATCTCAGCTATTCTGACAAAGTAATGGTACAAGCGTCGGTTAATGGAAGAAACCAGTATTCCAGAGTCCCAACGCCATATCTTGAATAACAAATTTAGGATTTGTTAGAATGACGAAACCCTTCTTCAAATTTACTTCATCAAAGTGTAAGAATAACATATTTCATGTAAAGATCTCCCTTACTACAGATTTGTCACAACTGTTGACTACGATAAGATTTTCTAGCAGAACAAGATTGAAAAAAAATGTCAATAGGATGAGCAAACTGTTTGCGAAAGGTGAGGGCGGTGTCTGAGATGACATGTAGCTAAATTTAGGGTGACATCAGTTACCATTGCCATTATTGAAACGCGTTTATCACTTCGACTGGGAAACAAACGTCATTTGTATGTTTGCATTAATAAGTCATTTCGTTGACTGGAAGCTTTAGCACATTTAATAGGATTGATAAAAGAACTGCAGACCCTTCAGATCGACTCCAAGTCTACGAAGAATTAAATGTAAAGGGCACTTGTGCGAAAAAAATGGCTCGCAATTAAAACACCGAAGGATGTTAGGAAGCTCAGTGGTGCTTGGAGTGAATTTGGTCAAGAAGTAGTTCGTCAGGATTATTCGGGAGATGTAGTTTTAATCATCAAGCCCTTCCCCATTCCCAAATCATATATTCAACCTAAGGAATTAGATTCAAAAGCTCCACGCATTAGCCCGGTAATTGGGCATCTAACAACCTTGACCCCCACTGATTGACTGACCAGACATCTGCCTAAGTTGGTGTCCATATTGGACATCTCTTCCCCTTTGGATGGCCAATAGTTGATGCTGTGGACTCACAACTGTCAGTTCTCCTACTTATCATAACGTGGATACTCACAGTGCAGAACTATGGGGGTGGGAGATGATCAAGAAGGGAACATGACGGATGGTGCTCCGTTGCAGTGGCCTTCGGGAATAAACAACACGAGTTTATTTCAGGTTCAGTGCCAAGCACTCATTTGCGTTTGTATTTTTCCGACTTCCTATTCCACTTAATCGTCGTCAGGCTGCAGGCGTCACTTCACAATGACCAATTGACTAGGTGGATAGTCAGGCAGGTAAGTATGCACTACCATTCCTCGTATCAACAACTTGGCGACTGTGGACAGGTGTTGACTGGTGTTAGGATGCAAGTTGGGTGAAGTGAATCCCAGCGACGGTGTGCGAGTAGTGTGTGCAGTTTTTACAATACAAATAGAGTGGCTGCAGAGAGTTTGCTCAGTTTTTTTCATTCAGTCTTCACCAGTATCATCCATAATCTGTCATTCTTTCCCGAAGAAAGCCACAAAGCGGCTGCAAATCACACTCCCATAATGCATTACCTCTTGGTGCAAAAGAAACCCAATCAGCTCCGTTTCCATCTCACTTCTACTTCCCAAGTGTTTCGCATGTGAGTATCTAGCACTGCAATGTCAAGAGAAGGTGATCCTCATCACGTGGAAGAGCACCGTCAAGGCGATTCGTTGAACAAAGACAAAGAGAGGGATAAGGCTGAGGATGAGGATGAGACAGTACCTTCCTCCATTCCAAGGTGCAAGTTCTCACTAGGCTAAGCTTTTTTGGCGGGAGGTATGAAGTCTTGCTTTGTCTTACAGGAATATGACTTTCTCCTGACTAATCCTCTAGTCACGGCTGTTTCTGAATAATAATAATAATAAGATGGTGGTGATGATGATGGTGCTCTAGTCTGTCTGCTCGCCTTTCTGCAGGCGAATAATTCACAGAGAAAAATTGTGCTTGCAGTCCACCAAGCAATGCGCATAATCTTGTGGGAAGAAGTGGTGGGTGCATTGGGAGAAGTGCGCGGAGCTATGGGTAGTGGGTGGATGGTGTGGAGGAGACCACCACGAGTGATGTGTCTGTTCGCCTAACAAGCATTGTAATAAAAGGACCATTTCTCATTACAAGTGAATCAGCAAACAATCCTCTCCCTACCCAGGTCAGGTGGTGCAGGCATAGACATAACTGCAAGTTGACACCTTGACGCCCTGGTCTCAAACGATACGGTCAGTGGTGAAGACGTGCAATTCTCCATTACCATCACGGCAATAGAGGGTCTTCCTGAACACCATGTGGCACTTACCCTTGCTCGAATTGTTTCTGGGCGGCAGATTCTGCCGCCACCACATCTTCAAATGCTGTATAGATTTGGGATGAGATCTCTGCGAGAGGCTTTGAAACTACCCGGTTTCAATCCGTCAAGCAGGCGGGACTCGCTCGCTCGAAACACGCGAGGTTCTATCGGTAAAAACAGCGGCTAACTCTAGACTGACGCATATTTATGCTCCATTATTTATTCATGGTGACATTTTATCAGGTCTACCAGTTTGCGCGATGTCGTTGTAGCAAATTGTCCATAATTTCCGCCGGCTTTTTTGCCCTCATGTCACTTCTAATGGCCACAGTCGGCATTCAGTGTTTTCACAGCAAGTGGAGTGCTTTGTCGAGGGTTCACACAACTCACGCCCTTTGACTCAAAACGGAATCAACATTTCTCTGGAAAGCAAAGTAATTCATCCAACTTGTATGACAGCTCCCTCCTTTTCGCGGAAAGTGTTCGACTGAGTGCCGTCTCTCCAGTCTCCCAAAGCTGCTCATCATCAGTAAAGCCAAGGTGGACAATAGTGTTGTTGTTGTTGTTGTTGCTGTTTTAACACAGTACTTTTTGTTACACCCACTTCTTCGTCTGTAGTCGTTTTGCGTTATGCAGCATCCATTGGTGGAGGGGAGAGTAGCCCTATTGGTATTCGCTCCAGTCGTTGCCACTTTACCACTTACACTTTCGTCTCGAGTGATGATTCGGCCTTTTGACTGTCGTGCTGACGCAAAACAACTGCCAGTAAATCATTCAACTGTGTCATTAATTAATGGAAGGAGATGTGGCTTCATTTCCCGCATAAGTTGACGTCGAAGCTGCCTTGTAGCGGTAGACTGTAGTGAAAGTCACATCGCAAAGTACCTGCCTCTCCGCCTTTTTCGAGGACTGAGGGACATTCACCTCGTGGCACACACCAGTACATTGTGAAGAAACACCGCGATCGTGACAAGGGAGGTGGTGACTGCTGAGGTGCATGTTGCAGGAAGAGGTGACCAAAACTTGGCTTTTATTCACCCGACACATGGCATGTGAACGGTTCGAACGGGGGCGTGCATGACGCGCAAACATGCACTCCAATCAGGTAACTTATCAAACGAGGTGAAACTGACGTGTAAGTCTTGTCTCGCGCACCAGCCCCTCCCCAAATAATCCACCTTACACAGCACAAGAGGGGTGGGGTTGGGGTGGCAGTCGTGCTTGCCAAGAGCAGCCCCGTGCGCACTTATCGATGCGGAGACTGTTGGACAGGACTATAGCACTTCACTAATCTATGCCCCATTCGTCGGCCCCACGACGCTTCCATTACAACACCTCTAGTAACCGTGTGGTATAGGCTCTCAACCTTTCCTACTACAACTTGAATTCCAATTCACCCAGTCCGTCAGTCAGTCGGCTGCAATGCGTAGCCAAATGTATACAAATGAGTCCTTCAGGCATACATCACTAGTGCCGCCATGTTTTGTCCGATTTCACTAAGACTGGCTGAAAGTGGTGTTCCATATGTGAGTGGCAACTGTTGGTCTGATAAACCAGGGTCGTGTTACATCAAGATCTGGGTGAAACAAAGCATCTAAGTAATTAACTCTCTCACCACGGTGGCATCTACTTGTTACTTTATTTCTTTTTCATGCTCAGCTAACTGCCTGATGCATTGTGGAGATGGCTTGACTTTGGCAGCTGCTTGTTGATTTATAATCCGAGTTCTTCTTCTCAACCAATTCTTCAATCCTGCTTAATCGCCTCGTTTGCATTCAACACCTTCTGAAATCATATGCATGCAAAACTCTTCAAGCTAAAATTTTACTTCGGTTGCATTGCGAGAGCGAAAGAGAGAGAGAGAGAGAGAGTTTCCATCAACATCGATCAACATTTAAATGACGCTTTCTAAGATACTACGTGTCACATAGTCAGTTGGCACTACCATTACTACTGCTGTTGCTGCTGCTAATGCTGTTGTTGTACTTTTCCCTCTTCCCGTCACTTTTCATGGCCTCACAATTTCCCCTCACACGACGAAGAGGTTTGACCTCACTCAGTGACATGCTAAAGTGGAACGCCTCTTTCAGCACTTTCTTGTTTGAAAGACATGCCAAACTTGCCCATCTCTATCCTTTACGAAGT